CGTGAACTTATAAACTGTTAAGAAACTGCACTTGCCATTCCTTGTGTTTGTCCTTCCTATTGACGTGAAAATAAATTAGCACGTAGTTCATATTCAGTACCAGGAGAGCAAAATTAATCAATGTGGTTATTCACCATAGGGCTGTTTTACACATCAGAAATATTTCTCAAACAATCTTAACATGAAACTGTTGGAATTCGTCTTTTTCAGCTTTGTTGAAAATGTGTACCGTTTGTTTTTGTAATCTAAATATCTTTGTGACGTGTGCTACTCACAAAATTTGACAGTAGTATGTAAAGAGACATTCGTTGGCAGATAAACATCAAATTTCCGGGAGATAGATTTGATGTCAGAGTAAGCAGATGATTCAGCTTCGCGGGTAAACATGAGGCGTGTGAGAGAAACACAAAGAAATACAAAATGAAGGAAGGTCAGATGTAGGAGAATAGGCAAGATCTGTGCAAATGGTGCTTTGAAGATAAGTTCCACATAATTTGGTTATGTAGCAGTGCGAAATTCCAAATGAACATTACTTTACCAGGTCTCTTGTCTTTTACTGTTACGTTTTTATTTCAGAATTATCATACAGATAGATCCTGAATTTGTGATCACATTTTAATAATAATATTAATAATATCTTTATTCTGAACTGCATTTGTAAAATGTACAGAATATTCAGAAGAGTTTGCTGCTTGATATTTTCCCTCCGTTAAACATCTTCAAGCAATTTAATAACTGACAGCATATCCTGTGACACAGTGCTCTCCGACCTGAAGCACAAACCACTACATCATGATCTATCTGCTTTGTCTCCTTTCAAGAATTCCACGACATCTAGTTGAAAGGCAATTGTATCATGTCCGGAAGTACATTTTGAGAGCCAAAAGCAGAACGCAGAATAGAATCTATTATCTCATGTATGAGGACACACTGCTACCCACAATCAGACCATCCCTGAAGTTTAGTAGGAACTTGCGAAACAAGAGCTTAAAAACACTTTAAATATACACTAGAGTAGGTACTAACATTAGAGGTCATAGTCTGGTCGATTAAAACAGAGATGGAAGTTTTCGGTAGCTCAAGTTTTAAGCAGGCCGCCAACATGTTAGCATTCCTACTGTCAAGTATGTTAGCAACTCGCATTTGTATGTCAAATTGTTGACGTAATCGTTGCTTTGTCATCTCTTCGTATTCCGATTATCAGACAAACGACTGCAAATCAATACATTCCCATATTATTACAAATCCATGCAATTTTGCCTGAGAATATTCACTTGTATTCTGCAGCTCTGTTGCCTATGATCTCATGAGATAATGTTCCTGCTGTACTTTTGGTTTTGATTTGATCTGTTTATGATTGAATGCGATACATTTCATCATATGCAAAGATTATTTGAAGTTTATGTCAGATTATACGGAACACTAATACTGGTTGCTGGTTCGTGGACCATCGAAGGTAATTCAAGATGTACAGTTAACTCTCTTTCTCTTTCCAGAGCAGAGTGGCAGCATAACTGGCTTGGCGGTCATCTGAGAGAACACATGACAGACGTAACATCGCCATTTATCACCAGTAGTATAAATTCGCCCAGAGAGCCCGACCATTTTGTAAATGACTTATACTACCATGGTATCTGCTTTTAGTCTAATCGCTATCCAAACAAACTCTCTGTGATGGTAGGAACTTCAGTAACATTTATTCCAGTCAGTATAGCTCGTCAGGTAATTGCGACATGCAAGCGCTAACACCACGTTAAGGTAGCAGCTATCAGTCGGGAAGGATAGAATCGAATTCTGTAAATCGAGTAGTGGTATTGCTGGAAGTAAAACTGTACATGTACGTGACTAATACTTCAGTTGACCCTTTTTATCTCTTCACATCCCCAGTGGAACACAGCTCTTTGACATTTCAGTAGCAGTGGTGCTTATTTTTTTGTACGGGTTGGTGTTGCTAGCCTCTCAACCAACCTTACCTCTTTACCCGGTTTTCTGCCTGTCAATTTAGGTTGGGTAGTGCATCGAGTGGTAGTCGAACTACAGACCACGTGCTTTGCTAGTGAGTATTCCACCTCTGGATGAATGTCGCACACGTTTGTAGAAAGTAAGTACAAGAAATCCAGGAATGAAATCAGAATTCGGACCATACATGAAAGCAACAATAATTAAGGAAAAACTTCAATCAGTTATCTTCTACTCAGATAATATGATACTCTTAGATTTTCATAATTTCTACTACTTATTTTCTTAAATTAGTAATGAAAACCGTTTCCAGTGTTTTTTCCATTCACATATATCTCTAAACTTATTGAAGGTTTTGACTGCAAGTCGAAAATGGACTTTTAAAACAAGACACTTTTGTTCCTTCAGAAATGTTGATTATTTTAGATACTGTGCTGCAGATAATGAGAACATACGAGAAACAGAACTATTTAATATGGTTTACCGGGAATTTGATTTTGCCTTAATTTATCAGAATTTATCAAGGCTATCATACATAAGTGTAGTTCGGTGGCACATAGGTAGAATGCTCGCCAACCAAGCATGTGGTCCAGGGATCGATCCCCAGCCAACTCACCCCGTTACCTCTCTAAGCCAGTATAAGACTGGTAATAAAGGAAGGTTTGGTAGGAGGCTAGCAAGCACATCCCGTAGGAAAAAATAAAAACCACTGCCAACGAAACTTCGAGCCTCCAGCTTGAAGTCCCATATTCCATTGGGAACGTAGAGGAATAGAAAAATATCATACATTTATGAAATTGCATCATTATTTTGATAACAATCATAAGATTATCCTTAGAATATTTCAGCAAGTGTTTGGCTTACCCCCGATCCACTACTTAATAACCTGGTATTGGTTAAAAGAAAGTTTATAATTTGACTGAGAGAAATACTGAATAATCACTGCTTCAAATTTAAAAACAGACAAATGCATTTCACGTATTGTTTCGAGTTCTACAGTGTCATTTGATTTGTCTTTTCATGAAATTTGTTGTGTTTCATACACTGTACAGTTGACAGAGTTTACTTAACGAACATTCTCTCAAATTCTGAACATTTTTAAATGAATCAGCTTTCATTTTATTCACTTGAAGCGACAATCTGTGCTGTCGTTGTCTTATTCTCTTGTCTTTCGAATCCTTTTTTCTAGTCAGTCAGAATAACTGAGTAAATGTCTCCCAGTACTTTGGGCTGGATTCTTCTGACTGATGTAAATGCGTCATGTCATAAAGTCAATGTAACGCTGTCACTAATCACAGAGAATTCACAGATTTTGCTATTCGAGGATTCATGAAATTATTGATTTAACTTAAGATGCATATTGTCGAAGAACAGCGTTGTTCTAAGCATTGCGCATCAATATTAGACTATACTCTATGGAAATTTCTATTGGGATAAGCTGTGAAAGTTATTTTATTATTTACTTTATTTCCTAAGGTTCCAGATAGAACATTAAGTTTCAGCAGCATATTTTCATTTCACCGTCTTCTCTGAAATTTTTCTGTTAACTGATTCTTCTGTTACTCACAAGCTTTCATTTCCTCTCTACGTGATCACCTGCATTTCATCCTCCGACATTCTACTCACCATTTCGAATCCGGGGGTGATGCCCATAATTTCATTTTGCACAATGATCTCCTAAGTATATGTCCAGTCTACCCGTCTCCACTTCCTTCCACGTATTTACTAGACAGTAGGTTTCCAGTTGATTCATTTTCTCCAGAGTTATTAGTTGCTAGTTATAGTTGCTGGCCGGTCATCTGAATTCCAGTATGAGCGGAAGGCAGTTGTGGATGCTAACCACCTGCATACACCTTTTGGAATTGCTTCCAGTAATGCACGCACCAAGCCTGTGAACAATACAAGAACACTGATGTAGCATTGACATTGAAGATCTCGATCTAGTCCCCCTGCCAACAATTAGTCGAAACGAATTCATGATGAAGGCTTTTCCTCTACAACAAACGTATTCGTTGGTGAATAACATCAGATGGCTACATGTTGTCAATCATTCGCCTTTAAAATCCTGATTAATTAACAGTCAAGTTCTTCCACCATTACTGATTGACATACGCTGCATGAAAGTGTGCAGGTGCAGATTTGTCTCCAATACATATATAGCTGATTAACTACAGTCAATTGCGCTCAACTCTCTATCTCGAAAGATGAAGAGAAATGGTCTGGACTTATAAGTGCAGGGAGTTATTTAAGTCTTCAGTTCTAATTGACCGAAATTGAATTTAGGCGGCATTTTCCATTCAACCAAAGTTTTACAAATTCTACTACTACAGACGAAGAAACAGGATCTGTGAATGCCTCACAATAACTTCCCATGAGCTACAGCAAAGTGAGTTAGAAGAACTTACGATAATATGTGTTCGCCAACTGCCTGTTTCGTTGCTACAAATTCAAGTTGAAATAAGTAATTACGAGTTAAACACTCTGTAAATCAATGTAGATATTCACAGAGAAGGCGAAGAGGGACGAATCCTGAGGAGTTCTTAGTATCATTCATCTCAGAGATTCAGTATTATGCTACCAAATGTCCACGAGAAAGTGACTGAATTATATGTTCTCATTCGAGGTAATTCATGTTTGATATTAAGCATATAAGACTAAATTTACGTGACATGCAGAAATTCTAAACAATTATAGGTAACGAAGTTCAAGCATAAACACTGAATTAAGGAATCTAATCTTTCATGTCGTAGTTAATTATTCTAAACACAGGTGACATGAAGGCCTGCAAAACTAGAGGACAGTATGCGCTCAAGCGAAATGATCTCTGTGTAGATTGTTGTGATGAGAAATAACAGTTGTGAATACATGGATATGTTCAATGGATAGCTTATGAATGTCGAGGGATGAAGGAAATTCCGACTTGGAGTTCGAATGTTTAGATAGGCAGACCACTGATAAAATTTAGCATTTGGAATGCAAGTTATTACCGATTAACCAATATATCTGACGTGAAGCGGGAATGTCTACAAAATTGAAGGATATTATTTCAAAAGCATGAATGCTGGCTTTCCTAGAAACGATTCATATTCTTTCAGTTCATTCTCGTCATCCACAGTGTGGATATTTCGAAATGGCTCACTCTTAACTAGAGTCTGATTAAGCTTGAAACAGCCGGATATCAGTAATTGTGAAAATACTTGTAAACGTGATGTTGAGCCTGAAGAGAACAGGTAAGTTATAAGTGCTTTTCTCCAGTCAGACCCGAACATGCTACACCTAAATGAGTTGCTTTGATGCTTTGTCATTTAAGATAGACTGTGTGATGGAAAACAGCGCTTCCGTTGTGACCTGTTCAGTAGTACCCTTCACCTTATCATTATGTCGATGGATGACTTAACAGAATATCTCCTCATTCAAGTCATTTCATGCTGGTCGGCGGTTCAGTAGTATGATACTCAAAATCCACACAAGTGTTCCAGAGTTTGGTTCTCGATCTAGGTACTTGTTAACTTCTCTCGGTTATTAAATCAGTAGGAATTATGAAAAAGGGGAAAGGTTGAGAGTGAGGCTAGCAATCTCACACTGCAGTAATGATATCAGCACTATGGAGACCTCGCAGCTTGAAACTGTTATTTCCACTCAGAAAGCGAGTAATGAGAAAAGTCATTTCATACAAAAGCCGAGCGGCATTTCGAGGCTACATTGTTTATAGCTTTTTTCATATTCGCGATTTAGCAAACAAAACTAAGCGTTTTCTGCTTCGTGGATGTTTCACCGTTTGTATGGGAACAGGGCAGTCTTATAAATGCTGACATTTTCACTGATAACTGTTTCCAATGCAGACCTTTTGTGCATTGACACATACTTTATTGCTTATAGAAAGCTATTCTATGAAATTAGTTCTGTGTCAGTCAGGTTTTCTGGACAGCTACAACTGTGTAACTTCATTTCTTGGCTGTGTTAATTTCAAACATGTGTCAAATATCCAGATCTCAGAGATCCTGGACCTGTCACTAGTTCAGAAGGCTGAGGCTAATGCAGAGCACAGTATGCACTGTAACTGACTCAGAACAACAGAAAGAGGTTGTGAAACACGATTATTTATTCTTCAAGCGATAACGAAACAGATTGACAGTGGTTAATCAGTGCCGAGTTCTCTAGATAAACGTCAGTACAATGTACAACAATACTTCTGATCGCAGTTCTCCAGTCTTCTGACAACCAGTACACGATTAATCAATGGTAGCCTCCTTGTCTCCTTCCAATGGAGACCAGTTCGAATAAACAACCTATTCAATGTTCACTAGCACTGACATACGTTTTCATTTTATTCCAAGTAAGTATGTTAGTATAAAAATTCACGTACTGCAAAGTCCAGCATTAAAAGAACTTCATCAGAAACTCACCATCAGCCAGTGTTCCTAACATTTTTGGAAATAGACAATACTGTTTCACTTGCTGAAATTATCCGGTTATAAGGTGGCCATGATTTGAAGAATTTGTGATTTGTATCTTAGTTTCCGCCAGTGAGGACGTCATGGTTGACTCACACTGGACTATGATAAACGAATTCTTGTTCCATAAAGACTGATTGAAACGGATTCAGCCTCTAGGACTTGACTAAACATTGCTAGAACTCTACGACTGTGACAGAAAAGGTAGTTTCTAAAATGACTGCCACCTCAAAGACTGATGGTTTCATTGACAGTTTGTTGAATACGTTGGTTAATAGCCGCCAACTCAAAATACTCTCACAGTTGTAAGGATGTACAATAACGCACCTATGCTTGACCGCGTTGGGTTTATCATCCATTCTCCATACCTTTCCACAACTTTATCGGATACCTTTTATTAACAAGATGCATCACTTTACAGATGAAAATAATAATGTCTTCTGGAATCAGGAATATCTAGATGTCTACAGACTATCGGAAATGCAAAGAAATATCAGTCGAAACACAGTGAGAAACTGTTGGTTACTGCATTATACCAATCTATGATGGATCTGTACTGTACTATCACCAGAGTTTACATACAATTCACCAGTAAATTGAAGAAGTTCTACAAATACTCTGAATATTAATCAGTTAGTATATGGAGTTCACTCTGGTGTATTTCATGAAATTTACTTCAACAAATTTGACGGCAGAGTCCAATCAGGGATTTCGTTTACTGTAGTTGTAAAAGTGCAATTGTGAACAGTTAGTTACACTGGCATATGCAATAGTTTGACACGTAGAAAACGCATCACTGCATAAACTCTAATATGACCGTGCTATAACAAATGGTGAATAATTGTAGAGACAGGGTTGTGTCATAAGAAAGACGATTTAATTAACGCAGTTTTGCTAATATGAGCATGGCAGCTGGTGAGAATTACATCGTATGAAGAAAGTAGATGGACATACTGTAGCAGGAGAGAATACAAACCAGAAAAGGATTAGAGTTTAGGATATTTTTCCATTCAAAAATCTCAGGTGTATTACTTATTTGCACGACGTCGGGAGATATATTATGATGCCGTATATAGTCCTACTTTTGGACGTTTTCGCATGACTCTTCTATCTAATAATCTATCAGGGAATCAAATTTCTAATTAATTAAAACGGCTTCACTTCATAACAGACTCATTCTGGGAGTAGTACATACCTTGAAGACATATAAATATATATATATATATATATACATAAATAGTGCATTTAACTTACTGTTTGCATCGCAGAATGATTTGAAACCCATCTCACCTAGAAGGAAATAATGCTTAGTGATGATACTTTTGACAAGGGATCTTTTGTATCAAAACTACCACAACAATGTCACACCACGAAGATTATTCCATACAGCACACACAGAAAGTTTATTGACACAACGATTTCGGGGAGTGTGCATTATTCTCTTGGTGTAGTTTACTTTGAGATTTTCAGTAACCTACATTACCTGGAATTATTTGTGTTCTCTGCTCTGGTTGGTTTGACTGCGAAGCACACAGACGAAATACTCAACTGTAGTAGTGATAAGCCAATCACCCACAAAATAATTTGTGTACAGACATTGTTTCAAAGAGTTCAAACACACTGTAGCACTCCAGTGTTGAAGAGAATGGAGGGAAAATACCTAGCTAATAACCGTCTTCGAAAAAAATGCATATCCTCACAGTTTCATCGAAAAGTGTTTCAAATCTAGTCACAACACCAGTAAGAAACCATCATCATAGATAACAAGTAAATTCACCCTACCATATATAAAAAATATCTCTAAAATAACAGCTAGAATATTGAAACCTTTTGAAGTAGACATAGCACAGAAGCCAGCCGGCCAGCCAGCACAATCACTTCATCCGATATGTAACAGACATTACACCGGTCAAAGTCGGTATCCCCTTTTAATCCAAATGCAAGAACACAAATTAGCTGCAAAATAGCGTGATATATATTCTTGCATGTAGATAATTATGGACACAAATTTGGTGACTGAGATAATGTAGAAATCTTAGAGGAAACACAAAAATTGCAGTCAGGGAATTTCGAGAATCGTGATACTCAAGTGAATCAGCCAGCGATTAACGAATATACTGCAGTTGACCAAATTTACCAGCTAATAAGAGTGAACCACATAATAAGAGAGTTTGAATTCCAAGTCAATAAAAATGATCCATAGAGATGTTAATAAACGACCAGTCACGAAGATGGTTGCCATGCGACACATTTATGTCATTCACGGAGAATTCAAATGAGTTCCCTTCATACTGGAACTTGCGCTGAAGATGCTGTCCAGAAGGACGAAGAACGCTTCGCAATTAAATAAACCAACTTTGAGAACACATCTAATTGCAAATCATCCACCTGAGCTACAAATCTTCTCTAGCACCTACATTATTTGTCTAAAGCTGTAAGCTGGTGAATTAAACCTATTTGATCATACGAAATATGACGGCTGTAGCTAAGGGAAAATTTCCATTCCTGATGAATACACCTACTCAGTGATAAAAACGTGGATATCTAGTAACAAATGATGAGAAATTCTCAAAATTATTTGTGGTATGGTGACGCTTGCATTACGTAGAGATTTTACCATTCATTTTTGGAGAATATATATTTAATAATATTATGTACATGATTTGGAAATCCATGTCTGAATTCACCTGTAATCAGATACCTTCCTCTCAGTTAAAAACTGTTCTCTACTCTAGTACACTTAACAGCAGTTTTGTTTATCATCAGTCTCTTCGATGTATAATTCTCCCATATTGAACAAAGATAAATGCATAAATTTTATGCCTCAAATTACAAGAATAATCAACTCTGCAAATCAACAAACAATATTTGAATTCAGGTTGACTTATTCTTATCAACAGACATGTCTTTCCTTTACATGAAATAATACAGTCGACCAAGAAGGGTGGTTAAGAGAGATTTGTTATCATAACATCTATTCATTCACAACTTTGCTTGCTCAACCTGATCTATGCATTGAAGGACATTGAGGTGCAGACAACTTTGTAAACACTGATTACAAATATGGATATTATGGAAATGAGGGAAGTCAAATCAGAATTAGACGGTTCTTGTGGATAGAACATTTGAGAAGGGAGAATCGACACCTAGCAGATCGCCATTCTTGAATGAAACAACAAAACTAAGTGTCTGACTATCTATGCTTCACCTCTGAGAATCCAACACCATCAGTATGCTGTTGGATGGCATAACTTAACATCTTGTGATGCATACAATGGAATAATGATTTTGTGTGATTTGGGTACACTATGAAAATGTGACTTCGTAGAATCGGATGGGATGAATTTTGTCGTTGAATTCATTGTTGTCTACTTACTTTATTATTTTCTTCAATTTCTGCATTATCAACATTTATGTCTGATAGGTCATCACTGACATTATTTGTGTAAATATTGTAAAACGAGTGAGCAATGTTTAGTGATAAGATAGTGGATCGAAGGAGTCTGAATTAAGATGACACACGTCTGCAGTTTTATCTACTTTTCAGTAATTCATTAATACCTGAAATCACATGATGAAATATGCCTGTAGTTTGGTGATTTATCTGAAATCTCAAGGATTTCAACCAGTTCTCTACCAATGAAATCTTGTGTGAAATGAAAATGACTCAGTGATCGGTACACAGAAGTATGACACAGTATGCATGAAGTTTATTTCAGTTAGTTAGACAATACTTCCTGATAATTTCAGTGATTACGTGGTATGTAGTGGGTGACAGTTACTCTCTCTCTGTCTCTCTGTTTCTTGTCTCTATCTTAAGGGGATAAAATAAATACCATCTACAAAATAAATTGTATGAACTGTAACAAGCATTATATCGGCCAAAGTGGGCGTCCCCTTCGAATCAGAATCCAAGAACATAAATCAGCCGTGAAAAGACATGATATGAATTCTTTAGTATCAATGCATGCAGACAACTATGGTCATCAGTTTGATTGGGATCATGTCAAAATCTTAAACAGAGGAAACACGAAAAGTGCCAGAGAATTCCTAGAGGCCTGGTACTCAAGCGAAAATGCGATTAACAAACACGTTAATATAGATGAAGTATACCAATTAATAAAAAGTAAATCAGGTGACCAAAAAGTTTAAAATCCTAGTCAATAGAAAGTGGTCAATACATATGTGAAGATAGTAACCAGGAGACGCAATTACATCATGCATGAGAAAATTTAAATCACTTCACTTCGTGATAAATATGGCGCTGAAGATGTTGTCCGGAAGGACGACGAAAGCTTCGCGATTAAACCAACCAGCTCAGAGAACGCTTTTAATTGTAAATCATCCACCTGAGCTACAAATCTTCTCTATTATGTCTCTATCTTCATTAATGTGACTGCTGTAAATGTCATAATGTTTACAAAACGACTTCATGTTTCCCGTGTAATCTCAGGTTATAATTTAATGGACTTACATAAGAACCACTTCAGTAGGAATGATGAGGATACCATTGGAAGAAGAGTACCTGGAAGTAGAATTGATAGTAATTTGTAAACAGAAGAAAAATATGAAACAAAATGGCGAAATCAACTTGGATCTACTACATGGTAGAGCAGCTCTGATGAGCATGTATACTAATATATGCATAATCTGACAAGTGCAAATGAGATCGAAATTACAGTAGACCGACTGATTTGATGAATCGAAATATCGTATAAACGCTTAGCAAATTACAAGTGAATCACAGAGTGATTTATTATCTGGTCTCACAAAGATCTGTATTGATCTCTAGCATGCTGAGTTAGTCAGTGTGCTGATTGTCTTCAAGATCATATAACGGTGAGAAATCTGGTTTCTGTTGCCTTCTTAGGCCAAATCATCTCTCATTTTGCTTGGAAACAATACGTGGACTGTCAGTAGTTTGAAGTGGATCGCACGACTGATTACCAGAATGAATCTACATTTATGCGTAGATTCACTGCTGATTGGAGTGATGGCAAACATCTTTTTTCATTATGGTAAAGGCTTTTTGTGTTTCCCAATGAACGAATGAAAAACGAAACACTGTCGTTGATTTTTCTGACGTTTCACTATTTAGTGCTGCTGTTAATAGCTCCATCAAATTTGCTTATATATAACAAATTGATCACCGTTCCTCAGCATGTGGTTAACGGTTGTCATTCCAAATAGATCAGAGACGTCAGATGATATCAGAAGAGTACTCAATGGGCACGGCATCAGAGTTCTCTTCAAAATATCAGGCACACTCAGAAGCAACCTTGTCCACATAAAAGACCGAATCCCCAATGATTCTCAATCTGATTGTGTCTACAAAATGAAATACTTGGAATGTTATGTGACAGACATCGGACAAACATCTCGAGATATCAAAATCAGGAGACAATCTGTTTGACCACCGAGAAATGCAGCCAAACTAGAAAAACTTGAAAAATCATCAGCCATAGCTCGTCTACACGATACAGAATCAGGCCAAAAAATCGATTTTGACAATATTGATATCATCGTCCGGAAAAATTTCACAAATCACAAAGAACGTCTAATATCCATCAGAATCGGAATCTAAAGTCTCTGAATAGGAGTGATGGACCAAAAATGAATTCGACCTGATTGCAACACCTCCATCCCTCCATGGAATGACGAAATCAACACGAATGTGAAAAGCAATTTCCTTATGTAAACACACGCTGCTTTTATAATTTTCACACTTATCAAATCTAACAATATCCACCTGCTTTTATTATCTTTACAAATTGACCAGCTTGACAACGCAAAAATGACCCCATGCTGAGTTGTTATATATAAACTAGGATTCTGGTTTAATAATACCACCTTGATAAAGCTACTAGCAGCAGCATTAAATAGCGAAACGTCAGTGTGAACAATATCGTTTTGTTTTCGATTCCTTGGGAAGTTTGAAGAACCTTTATTATAATGAATATCATATATCCGATGCCCAAATCTTTTCAAACTGTTGATAGTGACCCTGGTTTCGACGTATATAACCTATTTTCTTTACGGAAGATGAATTCAAACACAGAATGTTCTGCGTCAGTCTCAACAGTCAACAATGCCCTGCTTATCAGGTGAAAACCACCAATTTGTTTGTCCAATTTCAGTATTTCACGTAGAGTTATACAAATTGAATATGGAAATATGAACATTCCTCAGCATGAATAGTCCTCTCTACCTTCTTAGTAGACACACACGCACACACACACACAACAGGGATCTTCTAGCACACTTACCGAGAATGATTGCTGATGATAAAAGCAAACTCTGTGCTCCGCTCAGCATTGTTTGACTGTCTCTTTCGTGAATTGAATAGAATAGAATTTAAACATAAATCACACGTGTATTTATACTCAGTATCAGTTGATTACATGTGTTCAATGGCTGTCATTGTCAGCATGTTGAATATGTTATTGGTGTGATAAAAAATAAATTGAATGTAGCTGTGATTTGTTTTACTGTTAAAGTTTAGATTATTTCTGCCTTCAACCTAGTGTGCTTCACACACCACACACACACACACAAACAGGCACACTTAATCTATTGAAATCACAGTTTAGAGCAAATTCATCATGATTTGTTAACGTTAGACGTTTTAACTAGACTATAAAGTTGTTTATTTTACAAGGTTTTGTGTAGATTTAGGTGAATAATTGTAAATATCAGTCTCTCACACATGGATGGCTTTAGTGAGAAGTCGTGATCAGTGAGATCCACATTCCCAGTGGAAACTGGAGATGCAAAGAAGGCATCTGTTGAGGGTAGCGGTGTATCATGAATTGAAAATTTGAAATCCGCATGTCATTGGATTTCAGCACAAGTGACTTAATAGTCAACAAGTTTGACCTAGTCAACTTTGGGCCCTGGGTAGCTCGGTCCTTGATGAGGCTGGAGATGCACATTATTAAAGACTCCCGAACTAAGACGAAACATCTGTTCACTGCTTCCCAGTGATTTCAGTGATCTACAACTGTTATTAGTTCGGGACAAAATCTACGTTGAAATATAAAGTCATTGTGAAATCATAGTGCATTAAATGTAGAATATCCGACAAAATGATTTCTATCAGGATAGAAATTCTAGGAGCAGTTAACTAAAATGTCTCATACTGCTTTGTGTCTTTCAAGAAGTTTGCATTTTCAGTTTTGTGCTAAAAATAAAACGGTAAATAATCTTGTAGACTTTTGAATCAGGATTCTCAAGATTCCTGTTATCTAACTCTCTCCAAGTTATGACGCAATGTAATTATGAACTGATATCTTCGTTGACTATTCTCATACTTAGTGTAAACTATGTCTGGAGAAGAAAACAAATGTATGACAGTCATTCCTTCCTCAGATGTCTTCTAGACTGTTGGATGATTTCGTCACTACATTTTTTTAATTAAAACTGAATCATTTGAGATGCCCACTATTGATTCATGAACGATAGTCACAGATATAGCGTAAATGCTTTCTTACAAAGTAAAGTGACGGGCACAGATAAAACCATCTGTTAGGTGAAACACTTTTCTGAGTTGGTTTGTTATTATTATTACTATCCCCTTGTGTCCCGAGTGAAACGAATGGTCTCAACAACACATATCCATTTCTTCCTCTTTCCTTCAGTTCACCATGGCTGGCTCTACGATTCCCTATCAAACTTCCTCACATCTTAACACTGTGTCTTCCATATGACATTTCATATGAGACTCTAATTTGACTGCTGAGTTACAGTATAACTTGACAATTAAACAAACAGTGACACGGTATTCTAGTTTACTGATGACGACGTTTCGAGCACAACTGATTGTTCATAAACACATCAGAGTATACTCACAAAAATATCAAACTCCGTTTCTATTATTCTATTATTTATAAACAATTATCTCACTGAAAAGAAATAGAAAACAATACCGTCAGTGAAATCAAAGGATAAGGAATAATGAAATTACACAAATGAGGTTTAGAAGTTTTGCAAGTGACTTGATATGAATACTAGCAATAAATTGTGCTCGATATATTATTATCAGTGTTAGTAATACTGAATCACTGTGTGCTTTCATCAAACAAATGTATTCCAGGGTGGAATTCAAATCCCCTATCCATTCAATAATATTAATTGTTCGGTTCCTTCCGAGATGTTTGTCTTCTCTGATTTGGCTTTTTATTTTTCTCTGTCTCGAAAAATGTTCTCATTGGATTAGTTAACAAAGAACAATGCACAACCGTCTCGTCGTTTTCCGCGTTTGGGATAATCTAGTAAATTTGTGAGGGATTAAACTAGGTGAGATCAGTTAAAACCATAAGAGGTGACCAAAATATTAACTGATGGACTTGAACGATTTGTAACCTGAGTTAAGTAGAATTAATTTCACAGAAAACGGCTTGCTCTGTCTCAAAGGACGATGTTTACATTGAATCAATCTGCAGGCAGCTTATCTGATGTGTGATTGTGAAACAGACACTAGAATATGTGATTCCTAAATCATACTATTCAGACTGGCTTATCATTATCGACCAAGTCATATATATATGCTTTCACGAAAGTCTCAGTAATGCACCAGGGATGATTCCATATCACCACACCAACATACCAGTTAAAACACAAACATTAAAAATTGACGGCACTTTATAGGTTCATGTTTCTGAGGATTTACACAGGTGGCTTGAAAAGTAATTCAACTCACAGAGATTGATAAGCGAAAGTGGTACAAAATCCCCTTCGTCCACAGCAAAATCATTCTCTTATACTACTGTTATTATGCCCTCGAGTTCCAAGTGGAAGAGGGGACTTCAGCAGCACATTTCCATTTCACTCTCTTCTATGCGGTTTTCCTTTAGCTGACTATACTACTGACCATGTGCTCTCATCTCCGTCTAACACAGTCTCCTCCATGCCATCATCAGACGACTGAGTCATCATTTCACATTCTATTTCTCCTCAGTGCATTAACAATTGATATCACTCAATGGTCTTTCCGGAGTGCATCAAAATCAAATGTTTTCTTTTTCTTCTGTGGATGTTACTGCGTGAATGGTCGTTCACTACGTCGTTTCTAGAGTTCCTCGTCACTTGTCCTTCTTCTGCAGCATTCCGATCCTTGGACTCGAGCGAACGATTTCGATCTGGTTATTTATGTTGAGTGCAGTGGACTCTAAGACTAACTTCAAATTAACGGAGGTCCGTCTTTATTTGATGATTATAGCAAACCATTGAGTTGATGTGGATTTTGAGATTCTTGTTAAGATCTCCTTCAAACTATACACAACCAGTCATCAGGACAGTACACTGAAAGTGAATATTGCATCAGATGTCACACCAAGTTGAGTCATACTTTCTACTACCTACTAGTCATGTTGATCAGTTAATTGTTCATGAAATGTTCAATTTCAGTTCTAACTTCTTCAAGCTTAAGTTACTGTAAGAAACCATCATCAGAACACTGCTGTCAACAACTTCAATGTTGATGAATTTGGCTTTCATGTTTGACAAGAAAGCTAACAAACAAGATTGTATCTAGTAGGCATGATACATCGTCTGTTCAGTGATACCAGCATCATATAAACTTTTATTTACTTGACGTAAGGGCGTCAACACCTTAAAGCTGTTCTCAGAAACATTTCGTTTCAATGCAGATTTCATCATAAACCAACAAGAGTTAGCGAATTACTGAAAACCAGGGAGGCCTGGATGGCTGTTTAGTCCTAATCTTCGAATGTTTCAACAGTGTGCATCCATACAATCAACATCGGTATATCTCAAGACTTCCAGACTTCTCTCTCAACCAGTAGAGAACTGGATTTGTGAAGGTTTCAGTCATTTCAATACTGATTTAGGTTTCGGTTCTCGTTTGAGCATAGGAGGTTGGAGGCCTGTGCTAATATTCTTTTCAACTAGGCGTCTCTGCTTGTATATTCTCCACTTAATCAAGTCTACTGACGACTGAATGTTTGCTTCTCTTCGACGTAGTGAGATGATACACACAGTTATGAACCCGAAAATAGAATAAAGTGAACGTGAACGAAAATGAGGCTGTATAAGCAGCCGAAAATTGCACTGTCACGCCTTGCTCTAATATGTGTACAACTTATGACGGTCGGACGAGGATATCTGAGCTAGCGAAGATTGTATCGCGAAGGCGAAACAGACATTCACTACTATGGAATAAGTGTGTATTGATAAATTTCACGAATGCAAAAAGGACCGCATTCAGAGCACAAAATGGCGTCAAGTTATTTCACAAGATCCCGATAGCCGCAGACTACTTAAAATTTAAATTGTTCTCAAATGATAAGTGAAAATGACATACTTCGAAGTCAGATTGACAGCAGAGAAGATGTCAAAATCGAATGCGTCTGAAATGTAGCCATCACAATCTGGTTTTCGCTCAAGGTTTCATCAATTTACATGGATTCCGAAGTCAAAAACTAATGCGAGGGGAAACCAAATCATTGCAAATCCAATAGGCGTGTGGTTCCAAAACACCTCGAACACAGTCAGCCGAAATTACCAATAAACATCATTATGCATCCTGTGTATTCCAAAATCTAAATCTAGTGAAAGATTCGCCACAATCTCTTTGTTTGTGCCTGCGTTAGGTTGAAGTTGTCAACCTACAATTTCCTTGACAAGTCATATTAAATTGAGTATCCTTTGCACATTTATTATCTTTACCGATTTGACGATCTACATCGTGTCTGCCAATCGCACTTTATGGATATCAGCGTCTTCTCATGTATGAGTTGCTTTCAATATTCTCAGAAAGCCAGATAAATGCCTTCCCCTTCATCCTTCTGCATGCTTGCTAGTACAAGTGCATGCAAATTTATGAACGCAGTTGATGGTGAAAACAGCCAGTTACTTATCCAGCTGAGATTGAATTACTGAGTGTGTTTCTCTGTATGAAGATGCAGTGTCATCTTCTAGGAATCATCGTTTCTACTGTCAATTTGCCAATTTGTCGGTTGTCAAATTTGAACTAAGTCTCTTCTAGGGGAGAAGCAGTAGCGTTTTCATCCTTATTTCGTGTAGGGTAAGCAGATCTGTTTGTTGGCAAATAAGTCAATTTTATGAATCGATGGTACGCCGGTGAATGATACCATGAATTTATCTGAACTGCCAACATGCTCTATAGTTCAGAAAATCTAAAGCCGTCTTTCAAGCTGTGTATTGCAAACTTGTTCCTGACGGAATCAGAGTATCAGCTAATCACCGAGATAATCTGTGACACATTCTGTTGGTCGTTAATAATATCGTTCTCAAAAGAGCAATAGACTTAGAGATTTCTGGTGAACTATGCTCAA